CAAAATTATCAATAAAAAGAAACCCAAAAAAATCACAAGAAACAAAAACTGAACAATAAAGTGATAATACTAATAATTAAAAATTGAAGTACTTTATGAAATATTACATTAGAAAATTAGTATTTTTACTTTTTTGAATATATAATCATTTTTCAAGTTCATCATTTTAAATTTTCATATTTTAATTCCTTGAGATTATTTTAATTTTACACACTTTTAAGTTACATTAATTTTCTGATTTTTTATAATTTTATTTTATGCTACCTCCGTCCCCCTAATATTGGGACGGAAGGGAGTGAGGCGGTTTTTAAGAAAAGTAGAATTATGTGGTTGATAATGAGTTTACAATAATAGGGAGATATCAAAAAATGAAAAAATAGGACAATTATAGGGGGCGGAAGGAGTATATTTTACTAGAAAAAATTATGTGATGTATTTTTTATTATCTAATTTAATTTTTTTATTTTTGAAATACATTTACCCCACACTGATTTTGGTGGTTTGCCTTCCAGGGTAAAAACAAATAGGCTAAAGGGTCAAATAGGTACATGAACTAACTTAAAGTGTTCAATTTGTCCCTTAAATAGGAGGTTCTGTCCGACTATCACCAATTAAGGAGGTTCCCGGTAAAACTTTTTGATGAAATTTTTTGAGCATATTCTTCATTAAGTCTAGTTTACCCAAATCAAATTTCAGCTAAAAAAATAAATCGGGAAGGCAGTCAAATGATTATCTGAAATGAACTGCGCAGTTTAACTGCGCAGTTATCTTTAAAAAATCATTTGACTACCTTCCCGGTTGATGTTTTAGATGAAATTTGGTATGAGTAAACTAGACTTAATGAAGACGATGGTCAAAAAATTTCATCAAAAAATTACACAGGTAACTTCCCATATTGGCGACTGCCGTGCAGAACCTCCTATATAAGGGGCTAATTGAACACTTTAAGTTAGTTCATGTACCTATTTGACCTTTTAGCCAAAAAATATTTAATGAATTTCATGCACATAATGGTAACGTGCCCCCTCCCCCGAAGCCAACTGCTTCTTCGTCTAAAGGAAAATCATATTTTCAAATCCACATTTGGTAATCTTATGAAAAAAACTAAACCAATTCATGTTGTTGCATCTGTTGGGAGTGTTTCGGAAAATAAAGAGAATTAATTAAAATAAATTAATTAAATAAAATGACTAGAGAAAAACAAGAAAGGAGATGAAGCAGAATTAGTCAAAACTCGTGCTACGCACGATGTCCTTAAAACGTATTTGTTGTCTCCCACAGTGCTAGGAGCGTTGCAACAATCGTTTCCCAGGATACGATGACTACGAACTAGTGTTTGAGCACACAAACAAGAGTTCCAGAGAACGAGAATCAAGTAAGAACATAGAAGGAATTTGCAGAGTAGCTGTAGGTGTTTTTAGCTTAAGAAATTCGTGAGGAATGTATTCTGCGTTGTGAAACCGTGTGTTTGTTGCAAAGCACCTGCCTGCCTTTTATAGGAGGATTTGTTGTGTGTTAAATGGGGTGTTAATGGACCTGAATGTTGGACATCAATGACCAGTCCGTTGGGCATTGAATCATCCATAAACTGTCCATTTAACGTTGCATTAAAAGACAAGAACGTCGAGCAACTCTGATTTGAAGCCACCAGAGTTCGAGCAACTCTGATCCTGGGAAAAAATAAAACGTTACGGGAAGAAACAAAAATTAGATCGTATCTTTGAATGATAGGTTTTCGGACGACATTCGTGTCCGCAGGTCGCCCGCGCACACGAGTCGCGGTTTTTCTTCTCCGTTTCGGGATTTGATCGGCACCCCCCCCCCCCCCCCCCCCGCGCGTAAGAGAGAGCCTTTACCCTTAGGAATCTTAACTCCTTAAAAGAGACTTCCCTTTATAAGGGGGTGAAAATCCCTTGAGTTTTTCGGTGTTGGATAAAACACACTAGAAACCCATCATTTTCCCAGTTTTTCCATTTCAACGGGTGAACTTCGAGAATCAATTTCTCATTCACCCGTTTTCCGTTTTGAGTGTACCACATGTCGAATTGTAGCCCTTAACAAGGAAAAACCGAAACCACTTTGACCCGACCCAAATCGGAAGTGGACCCCACTCAAATAATTGCCCCAAAATGACCATTTAATGCAATTTTTAACACATTTTTTCAACAATCCCCCACATGAATGAAAATTGATTTTCGAGACTTAAAAAGACACGAAGATAGGAGGACACGTTGTGTTCACCGGATGATCCTTGCATACGGAGAGGTAGGTTTTATCCTTTAAACCTTCCGTTGTAGAGACACGTTTATTTACTGGCTGTCTAGTAGACTCGATGTCCTTCAACTATACTGCCGTCGTGTAAACATTGACTTATCTTTACACAAGAACCTTCCAACTTTGTTCCGTTCTCATGGGTGTGCCCATTTTGGCCATGGGTCACCGTCTTGGTTCTGCAAGAGTTTCTAAATAACTGAGCCTTTACAGTTCTCCTTTGAAGCGGCCCTCTTCTCTCTCACATAGGTGATTCTTTCACGAGTATCCCGCATACTCTTCCAATGTTATCGAGTAGATCAACATTTTAGAATCATTAAAGCAAACGTTTTTGCTAACCTCGTGCGGGAGTCACTGTTTTAACGAGGAGTGAGTAGGAGTCCGGGACCCCCACAGTGACCATCCTTCGCTCTATAATTTAGTTGTCCCTTTTGAACCTAGGACCAACTAGGTTGGGTATCCACTATAGAACTTTTCAATTCACGGGCTTTAGTCTCATTCGTCATGACAACTTCTCCAACAATTCTCTATCCAATGCCTTGGTTAGTGGATCCGCTATGTTATCCTTTGACTTCACGTAGTCAACGGTGATAACACCCGTTGTGAGGAGTTGTTTAATGGTGTTATGTCTACGACGAACGTGTCTAGACTTACCATTGTAGAGATTGTTCTGTGCCCTTCCAATTGCCGCTTGACAATCGCAATGTATGCATATTGGAGGGACAGGCTTCTCCCAACTTGGAATATCCTCGAGAAAATGGCGTAGCCATTCAGCCTCTTCAGTGCACTTATCCAAGGCTATTAGCTAAGACTTCATCGTGGATCTAGCTATTAACGTTTGTTTTGAGGATTTCCATGATACGGCTGCACCTCCCAAAGTGAAAACATATCCACTTATGGACTTAGGATGTTTTTACTTGGACTGTAATTTGCTGGTCTGGTCTGGTCTGGTCTGGTCTGATCTGGTCTGGTCTGGTCTGGTCTGGTCTGGTTTCTTTGTATTTTTATAACTATCTAGGTCTGGTCTGGTCTGATCTGGTCTGGTCTGATATGGTCTGGTCTGGTCTGGTCTGGTCTGGGAGGAATTACAGTCCAAGTAAAAACATCCTTAGAGTCCTTTATGTCGGATATCCAACTAGCGTCGCTATACCCTTCAAGTACAGCTGGATATCTTCCATAGTGCAGTCCAAGATTTTGGGTTTTACGTAAATACCTCAAAACCCTTATTATTGCCTTCCAGTGTTCATCACCGGGGTTGCTAGTATATCTACTTAGCTTACTAACCACAAAGGCAATATCAAGCCTGGTACAACTCATTAGATACATCAAGCTTCCAATAATCCTAGCGTATTCTACTTGAGAAATACACTCTCCACGTTTTTTGGTAAGTTGTACGTTTTTATCTAATGGAGTCCTTGCCTCTTGATAATCATCCTTATTAAATTTCGTGAGGATTTTATCAACGTAATGGGATTGGTTTAGCGTAAGACCGTCAGGTCCTCTAATTATTTTAATCCCAAGGATTAAATCGACCAGCCCCATATCCTTCATGTCAAATTTAGAATTTAACATGCTTTTCGTAGAATTAATCATTAGATTATTGCTACCCACGATGAGTATATCATCCACGTATAAACATAAAATGACATAGCCGTCTACCGTGCTCTTCACATAGACGCATTTGTCACTTTCGTTTATTTTAAACCCATTAATTAACATTGCATGATCGAACTTTTCGTGCCACTGTTTAGGGGCTTGTTTCAATCCATACAATGATTTAATTAATTTACACAGTTTCCTTTTTTGGCCTGGAACACGAAAGCCCTCGGGTTGTTCCATATAGATTTCTTCGTCTATATCGCCATTTACAAAAGCGGTTTTTACGTCCATTTGATGAACTTCCAATTTCCGCAATGCGGCAATTGCTAGTATCATCCTAATGGAATTTATTCTCGTCACAGGAGAATACGTGTCAAAGTAATCATGGACCTCACGTTGCTTGTATCCCTTGATTACAAGTCTGGCCTTGTACTTATCGATGGAACCGTCAAGTTTCATTTTCCGTTTAAAAATCCACTTGGATCCCAAAGGTTTATTTCCCGGAGGAAGATCAACCAATTCTCATGTGTGATTTTTAAGGATAGAATCCACCTCACTTTTGATGGCTTCTTTCCACATAGGACCTTCACTAGACGTCACGGCTTCCGTATAAGTCTGTGGCTCATTTTCTACCAAACATGTTAGAAAATCCGGTTCATTTTCTACCATACATGTTAGAATATCCGAGTCAACTTCTACCAGGTAGGTGAGAAAATCCGGTCCGAAGGATTTTTCAATTCTAGCACGTTTGCTACGTCTGGGTTCGGGTTCTTCTCCGGATCCCTCGCTAGTATTTTCCATAGCTACGTCAAATGTTCGTTTTGACGTGCTAGGCCCTTCGTTGGACTTGCATGGAAATACATATTCAAAGAATGAAGCATTCCTTGATTCAATTATTGTGTTTTTATGTACATCCGGATTATTTGAATCGTACACTAAAAACCGATAGACACTACTATTTTGTGCATATCCAATAAAAATATAATACACCGTTTTTGGACCTATTTTTATTTTCTTAGGTGTTGGTACAAGCACCTTAGCAAGACACCCCCACACTTTTAATTTTTTTTGGATGAAATGTAAGTATATATATAAAACACCCAAAATAACATTTTACAATGTATCAAGTACGGATCAAAATATCTATCTGAGTTAGACTAATCTAACCTAAATAAAACCATCACAAAGCAAAAAACCACATCCTTAATAAACTTGGCCCTGCTGCAAAAAACAGCACACAAAAAAACGCAGCATCCCAAAAACAATTGCAGTAGCTTCCAGTTTAACGCAGCCTCCAAAAAGCACATCGCAGCACAGCACATCCTAGAAATCTTACGTGGACTAGCTCCCAGCTTTGAAAGCAAACTGCATCATCCCAAGCAGCAACCCTATGTCACATATATACTCCCATCCTAACTTCCAAGAGAAGAAAAAACGCAGCAGACTCCAGCGTAATTTCCCATGCAAAGCAAATGTCTCCAATAGTAATGTCATAACAGAAACCGAAATAGCAGATTTTCAAACAAAAAGCACCAGACCCCTACAAAGCAATCTGCCCATTATCCATTCCGCCCCCCTTTCCTTTTTTTATTCTTCCCATTTGTCCTCCTCTTAAAAAGATTTGGAAGAGCAATCCTCTTTTTAGCGAAAATTTCCTCCCAACTTAAATCTGGAATTCTCTTTATCATTCCATTTATGTTCATATTAGCATCTTTCTTAATCATAAAAACCTTACCATCCATATAAACTTCATCAAAGTCTGCGTAATCTGTCTGGTCCTCTTCCCCCGATCCATTGTCAGTCTCATACGATCCATATCCAGAGCTCTCACTCTCAGTCTCTTCTGCCACATTTGGTTGTGGCAAAATCAGCTTCTCCTTAGCCGTGACAGTAGGCTTCAGCACTGTATCCTCCATTTCCTTCACACCCACTTCCTCACCTTGTATTTTTTCCAATATATCCTCCTTTCCAACACCAATATCATTCTTTTCTTTATCATTTTTTCCTTTCATTTCTTTTTCAGCCAGTTTTTTACAAATAAAGGGGTGGTGCCCATATTCTTGACAGTGAAAGCAGTAATTCGGAAACGTTTCATATCTCACCCATTGTTCAATTACCTTGTGAGAAGGTAATCGTATAGGAAAGGACAATGGCGGTGGCTTAGACACATCAACCCAAATAGGCACTTTGAGTACCCTAGCGTAATTCGAAAAATAAAGACAATTAATTAAAATAAATTAATTAAATAAAATGACTAGAGAAAAACAAGAAAGGAGATGAAGCAGAATTAGTCAAAGCTCGTGCTACGCACGATGTCCTTAAAACGTATTTGTTGTCTCCCACAGTGCTAGGAGCGTTGCAACAATCGTTTCCCAGGATACGATGACTACGAACTAGTGTTTGAGCACACAAACAAGAGTTCCAGCGAACGAGAACCAAGTAAGAACACAGAAGGAATTTGCAGAGTAGCTATATGTGTTTTTAGCTTAAGAAGTTCGTGAGGAATGTATTCTGCGTTGTGAAACCGTGTGTTTGTTGCAAAGCACCTGCCAGCCTTTTATAGGAGGATTTGTTGTGTGTTAAATGGGGTGTTAATGGACTTGAACGTTGGACATCAATGACCAGTCCGTTGGGCATTGAATCATCCATAAACTGTTCATTTAACGTTGCATTAAAAGACAAGAACGTTGGGCATTTAATGGCTGTAATGGCTTGGAGCAGCTCTGGTGCGCGATCAGAATACCCCCATCAGAGTTGGAGCAACTCTGATGCTACCAGAATTGGAGCAACTCTGATGCCACCAGAATACCTCCACCAGAGTTGGAGCAACTCTGATGCGAAGCCACCAGAGTTGGAGCGTCTCTGGTGCGAAGCCATCAGACTTCGAGCAACTCTGGTCCGAAGCTTTGAATGATAGGTTTTCGGACGACATTCGTGTCCGCAGGTCGCCCGCGCACACGAGTCGCGGTTTTTCTTCTCCGTTTCGGGATTTGATCGGCACCCCCCCCCTGCGCGTAAGAGAAAGCCTTTACCCTTAGGAATCTTAACTCCTTAAAAGAGGCTTCCCTTTATAACGGGGTGAAAATCCCTTGAGTTTTTCGGTGTGGGATAAAACACACTAGAAACCCATCATTTTCCCAGTTTTTCCATTTCAACGAGTGCACTTCGAGAATCAATTTCTCATTCACCCGTTATCCGTTTTGAGTGTACCACATATCGAATTGTAGCCCTTAACAAGGAAAATCCGAAACCACTTTGACCCGACCCAAATCGGAAGTGGACCCCACTCAAATAATTGCCCCAAAATGACCATTTAATGCAATTTTTAACACATTTTTCCAACAGCATCAAGCTCGATTAACGAGTTTTCTTTATATCTAACCTTTCCTTGTGAGAATGAAGAATGGGAAGACTTTGATGTTCCCCAATGGTGGAAGGACAAAGAAGGAATGTTCCCGATTTTATCAAAGATGGTGAAACATGCGATGTCATTATCGTTTTCAACGGTAGTCGTTGAACAAGAATCTACTGAAGTCGGCAACGTTCTAACGAATTATAGAACAAAATTGAGCGCACAATCTCTTGAGACGCTCATTTTCTTCCACGATTGGTTGAAGGCCCAACGTTGCACTCAAGAACTTTGCATCACCCACAACCGCCACTTCATGGAGAAAACAACAACTGACGATTAGCAAATGTATTTAATGTTTTAAAATTTTCTCAGTACTCAATTGTAATTCATATTTCAAATAAATCTACATTTCATTTTTAATATTTACCACTTGTTGAATAAAAAAACTACAATCCGATCCGACTCGACACCAGTCCGAGGCCGGCCAGGTACCCAAACCAGAACTGGTACCAGACCAAACCGGATCATATTAGGCCCCAATTAAATAAAACTGGGAACGTTCGGTCCCAAGCTAGGAACCGGACCGACCCGAGTCCAAGCCACTGTCATTTATTTTGTTTTAAAATCATTGCTTTCTCATCATGCTGGTATGGTTTGTTTTATGTTTTTAATTATTAAACCGTGTGGATAAATTATTCTTGGTTTTTACAAGATAGTTTTTTATTATTTAAAGTTATTTTCCCATCTTAAATTTAGCTCAAACCCCATGATGGATAAGCGTACCCGGGGGTAGCTTATCTGAGGGGTTACTGCGGGAAGTAACTAGAGAGAAGTCAGAGCAAATAAGTAAGAGAGATAAGGAGTTCGAATGTGGAATGTGTATTCAAGTTGTCTCTTGCAAAGGGAAAAGGGGGAGCTATTTATAGTAGTAATAAATGCTAGATAGGGACACGTGTCAGCATTCTGGTGGTCGAGGGGTCACCTCAATCGGGGTGGCACTGGCACTCGCATGTGGCCGCAATAAATGCGGTGGTTGGATGTGACGTTTTTACTTGGTACGGTGATCCAGGCGCATGTGGAGAGGATATTCTGTCGAGGTGGATGCCTTCGGCTGAAGGGTGCTGGGCCGAAGGCTCTTCTAACCGGGGGCTCCATTATGCCAAAGGTTGTATGTGCCGAAGGCTTCTGATGCCGAAGGTGAATACTCATGCTGAAGACCCCCTGTGGCCGAAGACTCTGTTTAGCCGAAGGCTCTTTAAGCCGAAGGCTCTATAAGCCGAAGGCTCTGTAAGTCGAAGGCTCCTGATTTCTGTCGTTTCCTCCCAGTAGCTTCGTATACTCAAATGAAACTATTCTGTGGAATTTGGAGCCCTCGGCCAAGGAGGCTGAAGGCACTTACACGTGTATTTGTGGGCTTCTTGATACTCGGGCCGCTACGTCTGGGCCTTGTGTGCTCATTGGGCTTGATGGGCCTGAGCAGGAGAAGTAGGAGTATGTGGGTCGGGGTCCCTGGGCCATATACTCCATGAGGAGTCCCCCACTCCTTTTGCCGAAAAGGTACTTGAGAGAAAAGGAGTAGTTGTGGTGATTGCCTCGAAGGCTCCCATGTCTTGTTGGGTGCCTCATTTTCTCGATTCCCCCACATGCCAAGGGTTGAGGGCTTCTTGAAGGAAGTGTGAGTGTGTTGCTTGCATGTGTTTCTTTGTTGTAGTTTGTAATGTAGTGAGAGATCTGCATTTTTGTGTTTGCCGAGGGCATTTGTTGACTGAAGGCATCATGTGGCCGAAGGCATCATGTGGGTGAAGGCATTGTGTGGCCGAAGGTATCATGTGGCTGAAGGCATTGTGTGGCCGAAGGTATCATGTGGCTGAAGGTATCATGTGGCTGAAGTCATTGTGTCGAGGGAAGTAGATTGTCGTTGTGATCTTGCATCAGCGTGCTGTAGCTGAGAAATAGAAAATTTTTAACATTTGCGTGTTTTGCCGAGGGGAGTCCCCCAATCCCCCACTCCTTTTGCTGAGAGCTAATCGAGGGAAATAGGAGTAGAGTGATGCATGCCTTCAACAGCAGCCGCCGAGGGGTGATGCCTTTTGTTCCACAATGGGGAGATGCCTCGTTAAAAACCTCATTAGGAAAAAACTCTGTGGGAAAAATCCTAATGAGGGAAAAAGAGTACACCGGATGCCCCCAAAATGAAGCAAAAGGAATGCACCCTTCGGCCAGATTGTTGAGTGGTGGTTGTGTCCGTTTGCTGAGGGGATATCCAAGACCAGCCTTAGATCCCGCATGAAAAAGCTGAGGAGCTCTTGTAAGGACCCCCCATTATCAAATAAAGGTGACGGAGGGGGGCAAGGCCGGGTGGGCCTGTGTGAGAGCCCCTGGCATCAAATACAGATGCCGAAGGGATGGAGACCGAGGGGCCTGTGTGTTTGCCCCTGATATCAAATAAATATGCTGGGGGGATGAAGGCCGAGGGCGTGTATGATAGCCCCTGGCATCAAATAAAGATGTCGGAGGGATGAAGGCTAGGCTGAGGGGCCTATATGACAGCCCCTGGCATCAAATAAAGATGTTGGGGGGATGAAGGCCGAGGGACCTGTGTGATTGCCCCTGACATCAAATAAAGATGTCGGAGGGATGAAGGCTGAGGGCTTGTATGATAGCCCCTGGCATCAAATAAAGATGTCGGAGGGATGAAGGCTAGGCCGAGGGGCTTGTATGACAGCCCCTAGCATCAAATAAAGATGTCGGAGGGATGAAGGCCGATGGGCCTGTATGATAGCCCCCAACATCAAATAAAGATGCCGGAGGGATGAAGACTAGGCCGAGGGGCCTGTATGATGGCCCCCAACATCAAATAAAGATGTCAGAGGGATGAAAGCCGATGGGCCTGTATGACGGCCCCTGACATCAAATAAAAATGTCGGAGGGATGAAGGCCGATGGGCCGTTAGTGATGTGAAATCACGCTAAGGCCAACACCGTTATGACATAGAGTCATGTTGAGGCCGAGGGCCGTTGTGATGTTGAATCACGCTGAGACCGAGGGCCTTTGGTGATCTGAAATCACGCTAAGGCAAAAACCGTTGTGACGTAGAGTCACACTGAGGCCGAGGGCCATTCTGGTGCCGAGGGCCGTTGTGATGTGGAATCATGCTAAGCCGAGGGCCGTTGTTGATGTAGAATCACATTGAGGCCGAGGGCCTTTGGTGATGTGAATTCACGCTAAGGCAAAAACCGTTGTGACGTAGAGTCATGCTAAGGCCGGGGGCCATTCTAATGTTGAGGCCGAGGGTCGTTGGTGATGTGGAGGCCGAGGTCCGTTCTCATGTTGAGGCAGAGGGCCGTTGTGACGTAGAGTCATGCTGAGGCCGAGGGCCGTTCTGATGTGGAGGTCGAGGGCCATTCTGATGTTGAGGCAGAGGGCCGTTGTGACGTAGAGTCATGCTGAGGCCGAGGACCGTTATGATGTTGAGGCCGAGGGCTTTTGTGGTGTGGATGTCGAGGGCCGTTCTGTTGTTGAGGTAGAGGGCCGTTGTGACGTAGAGTCATGCTGAGGTTGAGGGTCGTTCTGGTGTTGAGGGCGAGGTCGTTGTGATGTGTAATGAGGTTGAGGTCGAGGGCCGTTAATGATGTGAAATCACTCTAACGCCAGAACCGTTGTGACGTAGAGTCACGCTCAGGCCGAGGGCAATTCTGGTGCCGAGGGCCGTTGTGATGTGGAATCACGCTGAGGTCGAGGGCCGTTGTTGATGTAGAATCACGTTGAGGCTGAGGGCCTTTGGTGATGTGAAATCACGCTAAGCCAAAAACCGTTGTGACGTAGAGTCACACTGAGGCCGAGGGCCATTCTGGTGCCGAGGGCCGTTGTGATGTGGAACCACGTTGAGGCCGAGGGCCGTTGTTGATGTAGAATCACGTTGAGGCCGAGGGCCTTTGGTGATGTGAAATCACGCTAAGGCAAAAACCGTTGTGGCGTAGAGTCACGCTGAGGCCGAGGGCCATTCTGGTGCTGAGGGCCGTTGTGATGTGGAACCACGCTGAGGCCGAGGGTCATTGTTTATGTAGAATCACGTTGAGGCCGAGGGCCTTTGGTGATGTGAAATCATGCTAAGGCAAAACCCGTTGTGACGTAGAGTCACGCTAAGGCTGAGGGCCATTCTGATGCTGAGGCTGAGGGCCGTTGGTGATGTGGAGGCCGAGGGCCATTCTGATGTTGAGGCAGAGGGCCGTTGTGACGTAGAGTCATGCTGAGGCTGAGGGCCGTTCTGGTGTTGAGGTCGGGGGCCTTTGTGATGTGGAGGCCGAGGGCCGTTCTAATGTTGAGGCTGAGGGCCTTTTTGATGTGGAATCACGTTGAGGTCGAGGGCCGTTGGTGATGTGAGATCACGTTAAAGCCAAAACCGTTGTGACGTAGAATCATGCTGAGACCGAGGGCCGTTCTGATGTTGAGGCCGAAGGTCTATGTGATCTGGAATCACGCTGAGGCCGAGGGCCCTTGGTAACGTAGAATCAAATTGAGGCTGAGGGCCTTTCCTTGATAGTTCCAGGAGTTCTCTGGGTGTATGTTCCTTCTTTCAGGCATTGACCGAGGGGTTGATTCCCCACCTCGGCCGAAAGGGGGTCCAAGTGATCCGTCCGGGGGTTCGTCTGTTAGTCCCTCGGCGCTGGGCCATCCCTTCATTGTGCCAGGAGGTCGTATGTTAGTCCTCCTGATGTGTGTTCCTTCTTCCAGGCTTCGGCCAAGGGGGTTGCTTCCCCGCCTCACCCGGAAGGGGGTCCAAGTGATCCGTCTGGGGGTTCGTCTGTTAGTCCCCCGGCGCTGAACCGTCCCTTGACCTGGGGGGTCCCGTCGTCTATTTACGGCGCGGGCTAGGCTTGTTCAGTTTCCGACGACTGTCGTTTCACCCCCAAGTTTGGGGATTTCGTCACCTCAGCCATTCTTTCAGGCCTGTCACCGTGCGTAGCGCGCCGGCGACGCGGCGAGCGTCCCGCTCCAAAAACGCGGTCCTTTTGCAGGCCCCTCGTGTTTAGACACCATCGGCCATACCTGGGCATTTGGCCTCGAAGGGGCCGATAAGATGTCTGGATTGTGTTGTAGTTTACTTAAATTCATAGAAATAAGCGGAATACAAGGGGTGCGTTGTTTGACAACGGCTTTGTTAAGATTCACCGCTCAAGGCCGAGGGCTCTAGGCCGAGGGGATGATAATGTGCCTCGAGGTCGAGGGCCCAAGGCTGAGACTAACGCCGAAGGCGAGGAACATGATTAGCGGAGGTGGCGCTTCTTCGGCTGGGGCTCCTCGAACTCCTCGTCGTCGCTGAGCCTCCCGATTTCATGTTTCTTCGTTGCGATGTCCCCTTCTTCTTTATCGGTGTTCTCCCCGGTGTTTTTACTTGGGGCATTTTTGATGAATTGGTGGAGCTCACCCCATTGAATTAAGAGTTCAATAGCCTTCTTTAACGAGACACAATCGTTTGTATTGTGGGAGGTGCTTTTGTGGTAACGGCAATAAGTGCTGCCTTGGTGGATGGTGTAGATCTCCCTCGCCGACCGAGGGTCCTTGGGGAAAAGGTCCTGCTCTTCCGCATAGTTAAGGATAGTGCTCACCGGGTGCGTGAGGGGAGTCCTCGGCATGTCCAGCCGAGGGCGCCATTGGCGTTCGTTACGACCCTGCTGGGTGTGGCTTCCATGGTCTCGGCCTCCGACCGAGGGCGCATTTGGGGCTGGCGTGTTGTTTGTCTTCTTCGAGAGCTGGCCCTCGTTCTTCTTGAAGGAGTGGAGGTCTCCGGCGTCGGCGTATAGGCTTCCCCGCTGGAGTGCTCTGAGGTATGATCTTGGGGGTCGGTGATGAGGCTCCAAGCGTAAGGGCTGTTGCGGAGAATCCCCTGGAAGAGGACGAGGAGGGTACGCTCGTCGGCGCCCTCAACCTCGTCTATCTCCTTCATCCACCGGTCAATGAAGGACCGAAGTGTTTCGTCAGGTTGCTGCTTGACGGAGAGGAGGTGGGAGAAGTGCTTTCTCGCGCGCTTCCTTTCGGCAAAATGGGTGAGGAAGCGTTGGGCAAGATCTTGCCAAGAGTCAATGCTGTCCTCGGGCAATCGGTTGAACCATTCGTATGTTGGTCCCTCCAAGGTGGAAATGAACCAACGTCATAAGTATTCATCTGATGCCCCCATCATCATCATGCTGTTTTGATACCTGTTGTAGTGCTCCTGGAGGCCAGTTTTTCCTTCATAGGGCTTGATGAGTTGCCCTCGGTACTTTTCCGGGATTTGGGCCGCCAATACCCTTGAGGTAAATGGCATCCTAGTTCGGAGTTGGATGACGGGTTCCCCGGAGCCTTCGGCAAATTTCCTTTGCATCTCCTCCATTTTGGCCAGCATGGCCTCATGTTTAGAATCTGCGTGAGGGGCGGCAACGGCGGTATGTGCTTGACGGGCCTCCATTTCATCAAGCCGGTGCTGGAGGGCCGCAATAATTTCGTCCTTGGTGTCCTTCGGGAGGGCCTCCACCCCCTGCGAATGGCCATGGGCCGAGCGGGCCTGGTTGATTTGATGTCGGGTGCCGTCGGCATGGAGGGGTGCTTTGCCTTTATCCCGAGGGGGAAGCTTCTCAACTGCCTTGGAGACGGATCCGCCACTTTCCTGAGGTCTTTGGAGCACCTTTCCGCCGAGGCGGTCTTGGACCCCTCGGCGGTCTAGCGCCCCTCCGAGTCTCTCGAGGGCAGAGGTCCGGGGCCTTTCTTTGTTTGCGCCGTGGCGGTCCCGGGATTGGACTTCCTGAGAGGCGGTGTCCTGGGCCACAACCCTCTCGTTGTTCCCTAACCGAAGGATAGGGTTCACGAAGGGGAGCGGAGGAGGGGGGAGAATGGCGTTCTCCCCGACCTGCGGCTGAAGGGGTACCAGCGTGCCGAAGGCACCTGGGTTTTGAGTGAGAGTTTGGATGAAGGCGGAGAACGCTGATTGTACGTCAATGGTGAGAACCGGAGGCTCATTTGGTTTTCGCTCCGGTCCTTCTTTTTGGCCTCGATGCCAAGGCGGGCATCGGGGGCATTATGTTGGAGCTGAAGGCGCAGGTCGACAGCCGTCTGTTCCAACCCAGCGAGGGCGCCGCCCTCGGGAGCCATGTTAGAGGCTTCGAGGGCGTCGACGTCGCCGAGGGCCAGGTTCCTGTCCTCATGAGTCTCGGATTGGGCACGGGTGTTTCTTCCCATTTTGATAGGTGTTTTTAGCTGAAGGGGAGGGTTTCTTACTTGATTATTCGAACTCTCAACGAGAGCACCAAATGATGGATAAGCGTACCCAAGGGGTAGCTTATCCGAGGGGTTACTGCGGGGAGTAACTAGAGAGAAGTCAGAGCAAATAAGTAAGAGAGATAAGGAGTTCGAATGTGGAATGTGTATTCAAGTTGTCTCTTACAAAGGGAAAAGGGGGGGCTATTTATAGTAGTAATAAATGCTAGATAGGGACACGTGTCAGCATTCTGGTGGTCGAGGGGTCACCTCAACCGGGGTGACACTGGCACTCGCATGTGGCCGCATTAAATGCGGTGGTTGGATGTGACGTTTGTACTTGGTACGGTGATCCAGGCGCATGTGGAGAGGATATTCTGTCGAGGTGGATGCATTCGGCTGAAGGGTGCTGGGCCGAAGGCTCTTCTAACCGGGGGTTCCATTATGCCGAAGGTTGTATGTGCCGAAGGCTTCTGATGCCGAAGGTGAATACTCATGCTGAAGAGCCCCTGTGGCCGAAGGCTCTGTAAGCCGAAGGCTCTGTAAGTCGAAGGCTCCTTATTTCTGTCGTTTCCCCCCAGGTAGCTGCGTATGCTCAAATGAAACTGTTCTGTGGAATTTGGAGCCCTCGGCCAAGGAGCCCGAAGGCACTTACACGTGTATTTGTGGACTTCTTGATACTCAGGCCGCTACGGCTGGGCCTTGTGTGCTCATTGGGCTTGATGGGCCTGAGCAGAAGTAGGAGTCTGTGGCCGGGGGTCCCTGGGCCATATACTCCATCACCCCATACAAAACTCACATTTCAAAGGGAGAAAATTCCCGAAATAAGAGTAAAAAAGTTTGAAAATTCCAAAATAGGATTGCCATGTTTTTGTTCCCAAAATAGGAGAAATTACTCTCAAGTTTGGAAAATACTACCATGTTTAAAGTCTGGTACTGCCAAACTATGACAGTAATTAGAAGTTGTTCTCTTCGTCTGATCTGAATGTTTCTGATCTGAATTTTTTAAGATCTGATCTGAATTTTTCTAATCTGAACTGATCTGAATCTTTCTGATCTGAATCTTTCTGATCTGATCTGAATTTTTCTGATCTGATCTGAATGCTTCTGATCTGATCTGAATCCTTCTGATCTAATCTTAACTTACTAATAATACTATTTTGGAATATATAAACGTTTTTAATCCTATTTTGGTTCTATTTTGGTGAATTTTTTTTCAAAGGTGTACACCTATGTATGCATATTATCTATTACAATATTTATCATTTTCAATGAAACGAACAAATAAATACGTAAACCAAAGACCCTAATCCTTGCTGATTTGTAACAAAATTGCTATTTGAGCTTTTAATACATAGAAGTGTACTATGTAGAATGTTCTTGCATCGAGTATAAATATAATGTAGCCAAAACTGTAAAACCAGATCAAAACGCCAAATCCCATCCAGTTGCAACTTTTGTGGCTCTTCCATACTTCAAGTGATCAACTGGAGGGAAACTCAAAAACCAGATATTAGCAACGTGAAATACAGCAGTACACCTCTGAGGCTCTGAGGAAACGCATCCTCCTGCAAAAACTGCTATTGCCAACGCATAAAATGCATTATACAAAACGAAGACTGTAAAAGAGAGAACACATTCCATTTCAACTATGACAGCCCCTCAATTCAGACCTCACCGAAAATATAAGCAGGAAGTTATGAATCGACTACCATGCAGCAGATCGGTAGAATTCTGAATGAAAAGGCAAGCCAGAGAAATATTGCAAATCTATTTTTGTAACCTTTGGTGAAAGAACATCTGACTGGTACAATAACATCTGTACAAGTACATGAATGAGACCGACAATTATGGACCCTCAGATAATATTACACAAAGCACCTAACAAGCTCATCTACAAATGTTAACTGCGCAGTTGTTTCCCCATACTTCAACCATCCGTATAATAAACCTGTAGATGAAACTGAATTAAGATTTATACACTGTTGACCAACTGGAACCACTAGCATGTTTATCTCAGTGGGAATTATCTCATCTCATGTGAGAGGCTTGACTTACCTCAGTGTGTTTCTTTGAACCATCTGCACTCGACTCGGACCTACATTTTGCATGCACAATTGGTCCTAACTGAGACCGGTCTGTCCCGGATGTTGGCCCCCAAGTTTGTGGTGCATTCATGTAGACAGCGCCCTTGAACATCCACTCCTCAGTCTCATCACTATAGAAATCATCAAAAGGCTCCCCACACAGTGCACAAGCATTCTGGTCATCATCAGCAGGAACAGCAAGTTCATCAGCACCATCCTTCTTGTGCACGACATCTTCCAGAGGAAGAAATCCAGGAACCACATCAACGCCCAAAGCCTCCGCACTACTGAGCCACATGCTGAGACTTACAAACCACTTGCGAGAAGGATTGTGCTTCCGGTTTTTAGATATTCGGTTCTTGGTTACATGCCAATCCATGTGGCTGCTATGGATATCTTGGGACTGGAACCGCAGCCCGCATGATGTGCACTGTCTAGGAAGAGCAGAGTATAGAGCAGTTATTGTTGACTCATGTCGCTCCTTAAGGAGTTCCACATTGAACTCAGTACCCATAGATTCCTAAACATCACATCACACAGGTAAGAAGTGTTTATTTATTTTTTGGTAAAAAACTGAACCAGGAAACTGACAGCATAGGATAGAAATACAATACCTGTGATGTGCTTTGGTGTGATAACGATATCAGACCTTGAGCCATCAAGGTGCTGATCAGACTGGAAAAGGAGCCGCCTTGGGATGGTGCAGCACTTTGGCTGCTTTGACCGCAAGTTTGGAGTGTTGGCATAATTTGAGGTGCAGAAACAGAAGCATGATCTGTAAATCTAGTCATGGGTGGCGCCCGAAGGGCTGCTCGAGGGAACTCTAAAGAAGTATGATTTGGGATATTCATTATTGGCATAATAGAACCACCATGACCTTGACGAGGGCACAAAAAATTTAATTTTGGTGCCACATTGCGAGTTGGGACAACAGAGCCTAGTGGGCCAGTATTATGCAGAAGATGATCCTGACAATGCAGCGGTGGTTGTGATAGCCCAATCTGTCCAAACCTTTGTTGATCTGATATGATTGCGCCAGGATGTTGAACACCCAAATGGGGCAGCGCAAACTGTGGTTTGAGGTCCATGTTATCCATATGTCTCTCGTTCCGAGCATGACTAGAAACTGCTTTCGTTGCATCATACTGACCTCTTGTCCCCTTTCGAGGAAGGATCATAGGAATTGAATTCAATAAGTGAGGATTGTGCATGCCTGGTGAGGTCCATGCACCATTTGAAATTCCCACATTAACCAATTGAGCGTCCTGAATTGGGGAGTTAAGACAAAGATTCGCTGTTGAAGAGTTGTTTCTTGGAGGCCTCCAAATGTTTCCATCTACATTTTTTAAAAGACCAAGCAAAGGATGCTTGTGTTCTCCGGTTGAAAGTCCAGCTCCTGAGAGATGCACTGTGGGAGCCTTTCCACCTCCTTCAACCCTGATATGGTGATGAGATAACTGTTGGGAACTTTGAACAGGATAATGAGATTCTTGACTATAATTTGGAGCTGGAATAAGAGAAACCTCATTAGACAGCGCACTGATCTTACTAGTATCCCCTCTTCTAGGCTGCAGTTCAGAAATTGGTTGTCAAAACAAATCCTCTTCTAGGATCAAATCACGATCCGTATTCAAAATGGCAACAATACCAGCAGAAAGCATCAAATATATAAGTCTTAATCGAGTACAAAATAAACAGGTGAAAAGGCTAAAATTGGCCTCGAGTACTAGTTTTTTCTACTCTAATTTATTTTCTGGGCCCTATGAGTGAAATAGTTAGCGACGACAACCATACACTATCAACCACGGTGTTAATTTATTTTTACTAATAATCGTTGTAGCAATGCTCCTCATAGGGCTTCGTGATAAACAACCATAATGATAGTCTACAAACTATGCGTAAAAACAAAAAAGAAACAAGTAAGAATCAATTGCAAGTAGGGTTAACAACAACAAAGTCAATATCATTCAGTGGTTTAGTGGAGAAGAAATTAACTAAAGAATGAAGGGTCTGATCTGGTAAGCTCCTTCTAGATTCATTGATAGCAGATGCATCCTGAAGAGGACCAACACGGGGACGAGCAAAATATCTCCCAGGTGATAGCATAGATGATGAAATATCATTACGTCGATGAGCATTACCCAAAGTTGGACTCATGTCTTCCCAATTAAATTCTTCCTCTTCAGTATTGATCCATGTTCTAACACCTACCCTTTTGCCAGTACCATTTGCTTCTGGCTGGCCAAGCTTACTAAATTCTTTTTCCCTTTCATCAATTCCATATGCATTAATCAGAGCTCTGGGTCCCTGAGGGCTAACTCCTTTTCTGAAACTATATGAAACAGAGTTTTCCAACTGTTGAATGCTATCAGCGTGAAAATGATTTCTGTTACAGTCAATTGTATCGTCAGCACCAGGCAATACTCCATTAAGCCCACAATCTATCCTAGCATGAGATGGAATATCTCTTTCAGTAAATCTTGGAGAATTTTCCAAATCAAAATCATCAACTGGTGGCGAAAATGATCTTGCACGTCCTACACCATAAGGAGAGGATGACCTTGCAGCTGGGAACAATTTTACAGCATCTACGTCAGAAGATACAAGTCCAGCATGACCAGCTGAGCTCAACTTTTCAGCATCTACCTGCAAAGAGTAGCATAACCATTACTAAAGGGTTTAGTTGTTAATGGGAACCCCAACCACATAAAGTTAACTACTCATTCAAAAGGGTTTAGTTGTTAATGGGAACTCCAACCACATAAAGTTAATTACTCATTCAAAAGGGTTTAATTGTTAAGGGGAACCCCAACCACTTAAAGTTAACTACGTGTTCAACATTACACCATATGTCTCACTAGGATGGCATATGGGTTATATAATTGAAATTACAAATCTACAGAACTAATAGTTGAATGCCCTACCAATTGCCTTCTTGCTTCCAAATATTTTGGATTTACATGTATTCCATGATGACTTGGCTGAGGAGACTCAGAAGCTCTCATGTTCGTCATTCCAGAAGATTGATGGCTTGTGGATGGGGAAAACTGGAGGCAAGCCTCAATCTTGCAGAGGACAGGTGATGGGAAAACTGTAGACCAGGTACCAAAGAGGTGGCGAAGGGCAGGAATCATGTTGGGGTGGACTTGTCTGTATGCCTCACAAAAAACCTAAAGATACCAAAATGCAATGCCATATGACTCTAAACAGATAAATAATATTAAAGAGTGGCAAACTAATCAGATAGAGCTGCCAATGCACATAGATTAAATATTCACCTCAGGCAAACGGGCAGAGAAGTGTCTTATGTATTCCCTCCCTATGTTCTTCACAATACTATCAAGAAGGTAAAGAGATGGCAGTTTCTGCTCAACTGGGGCCTGAAGACAAATTTGGGAATGAAACTAATGAGCTGCAGATAACTACACGACTCTGAAGCCTAAGAATAGCTAAAGGGGAACAAAAAGCCATTAAGGTAGCACAATTTTCAGCGCAAATAAAATGATGTGAAATTTTCAAAACTGCACTCAACAAAAAAAATCATCCAGCATAAAAACTAGGAGCAGTTGATTATTAACCAGTAAATGCATTGTGGAAAAGCTGAATACTAATAGACTAATCCTAAACATCTGACCTCATACTTTAGAATTGAGGCACTATGAGCAACTGCTGGGTGTTGGAGAAGCAACTGATGTGATTGAGATAAAGATCACTTCCTCTGAAGTGTTTCATTCAGACACTACTATGGAACATATTTTAACCAGACATGATTAATCCAATCAATACATGACCTAATGTTTATTTCTCAACCACACAAACATCTGCCTTTCGGGATAAAACTATACATCACATAAGGATTCTTAAGTAAGAGAGATAGAAGTCTTATATTTTAAAATTTAATGATAAGCTTATTAAAAAGTAGCTATTCGATAATGTTTAATTCAGATTGCTTACAGATGACTTGGTCTTTTGAGGTAGGAACGAATATTTTTTCCCCTGAATTACTAATATAAACCAATGATAAGACCAAAAGATCGATTTGCGCTTTTCAGCACCCTTAGGCATTGAGACAATTCAAAAATATGAGAAAAATTGAAAAAACATTGAAAGGCAGCTTATATGGCCTAAAAATACACTGCAAATACAGACCTCTAGAATACGAGTGCATATTGCATCCGCAATGCCCTCGCCCCGTTGTCTATGCTCCCCAGCAATTATGGTCAGATCAGTAATGATAGGCTTCGAATTGAATGTTAAGTCCGACAACACAATCTCGTAAAGCCTCACAACCTCATCGATTGTCGGAGGAGAAACGACGCCATTCTCCAAAGAAAGCCTGACCTCATCTCTCTCTTTCAACATCGACCGAAAACGGTCGAGTGTTGAGGGCAGTGTGGTCTTCGAAATTCCGGCGGATGCGTCATTTAGCATTTGCTTAGAATTAGCAAAGTTGCCTCCAATTCCCGCCCTAGGGTTTGGCAGTCCCGATTCGATCATTAAGCCAAGTGGACAACCCACGGATTATAGATCAAAAAGGGAAACAGGATACTGGGAAAGTTCAGAGTATCGACTGAGATAACGCTAGGGTTTTGAGCCACCGTGCACGGTGACGGTGGTGAACGAATGATAATTGACTGTTATCGCCCATATACGATTTGTAGAGGCGTTAGGCTGGCGAGGCACATTGCTTGGTAGAGCACTGGTAGGCGCTAACGTGTTAACGGGGGCGGGGCCCTGGCCGGGGTAATCCAGCAGTTAATGGGGACCTTAGTAAAACAGGGTCTATACATATACACTCGGTATTTTTGTAATTATTTCTAATTTTATGGGCTATAATCTGATTCTTGCTTCTTCCATTCGCATCCTTTCCAGCGTATGTCAACTGTCGTGCGTGTATGCATATGGACTATAGTGCTTCGTCCTTAGTTTTTTCCTTAACCTTCTTTTGCTTTGTTTGTACGTAGTTCCTCTTTTTTAATTCTCTTTCCTTTTTTTCTTTATCACCTTCTTCATTGATTTCAATTTGTGATGAATATTTAATGTGTTAATGTTTTATTTTTCTAATTTTAGTTTAACGTAAATATTTTTTAGTTTATTAAATATTACTCCCTCTGTCCCTCTATAATTGTCCAATTTTTTCATTTTTGGATGTCCCTTTATTATTGTCACATACCATATTTGGTAACATTTGTGTGACTCTAATTCATTCTTACTTTATTTCCACTTTATCAATTCATTACCAACCACATAATTCTACTTTTCTTAAAAACCACACCACTCCCTTCCGTACCAATATTAGGGGGACAAAGGGAGTATGTGCTAATTACCAACATGAGTTTTATGTTATACTGAAATGAGTAAGGTGTAAAAAAAATATGCATGTATAAACATCATAAAAAGAACCCGATTATATTTGTAATTTCGGAATGAAAGACTATAAGTTATTTTTTAATATAAAATTACGATTTTTCATTACTATATTCGTCATTATATATAATATAGGTGCACAGATGAATATTTATACTGATGGAGTATATGGGTCTGAGCCTCTGGACCCACATACTCGGAAGAACAGAAAGCACAAGACACAGAGTGGCGCCCTCGTCGGCCAGAACGCCCCCGTCGGCCGAAAAGGGGCCAACTCAGATTATGGTCCTGAGCCCAAGGAACTCGGGTGCCCTCTTCGGCCGTGCCCTCATCGGCCATGCCCTCGTCGGCCACGCCCTCGTCGGCCACGAGGACTTCCCAGAACCGGATTTTATACTTATTCATGTGTACAGCCCATTAGTGGCTTTGTATTCGGCCCAGTAGCGGTCCAGTTGTAAATGGGCCTCCCAAGCCCAAGGCTTGGGAGCCCAGCCCGTATTTTCTCTATAAATACTCCCCTTGGGAGTAGTTGTAGGGGGTCAGAATTCACTAATACAAAGCAAATATACTACTTCTCTCTCTAGCTCTCACTTCTCTCTAGAATCTAGGAGTTAATACTCCATCATTTGGTGCTTTCATTGAGAGCTAGAACAATCAAGTTAGCACCCTTCGTCGCTACCAAGCACAGCTAACCACTGATCATGGGGAGAACTAAGTCAAACCGCAACCTCGTCAGCAAAATCATCCCTGAGGACCAAGAGCCCAGGGAGCACGATGAGGACGCCACGGTCGACCAGGCCGGCGGAGGGGACCTCTTCCAGGAGGCCTTCAACCTCACAACGGACCTCCGCAACCAACTCAACAGCGGAGTCCCTGATGCCCGCCTCGGCTTGGACAAGAAGCGAGCTGAGAAGACGGATCATGCCCCGGCCCAGCCTATGGCCGCGGCCTCTCCGTCCGTGGATCCGCAGGTCCAGGCCGCGCTGTCGGCCATCATCGCCAGCCTAGCTCAGAACCCCACCGTCCTCAGCGCGCTCTTGCCAAGGACCGGGGGGAACGTCACTCAACCCCCTCATCCCCAACCGTTGGCCATCCAGATAGGCAACGATGAGGGGGTGGTGCCCCAGGACACGGCGTCGTCCCACTCCCACCCTGCTTCCCCTCTTCGGCCTGGGCAGACCCCAGCGCGTGGAAAAGCCTCTGCCTTCAATAGGCTAGGTGACACGCGCCGTCGTCCGGTTTCGGAGAGGATGGCGGGACGAATTGGTGATCCTCGTCCTGGCTCACCGAGGGAAAGCTTGGGGTCTGTGTCCCGGACAGCGGACCAGCCCCGCCCGGACAAGGGCAAGGGAAAATTGCACGAGGATGACGTGCGTCACCAGATCAACGCGGCTCATAACGAGCGCATGAGGAACCAACCGGGCGCCGCTGCGGCCGGCAGGGACCCCCGGGACGAGGTCATCGCCCAGCTAGAAAGGAAGCTGGCTCAGATGGAGGCCAAGCAGTCGGCCAACATCCCTACGGCCGGCGCCTCCAACGACCCCGGCCTCAACGCGCTCATGAACAAGGTTAGCGCCCTGGAGAGGGAGCTGGCCGAAGGGCGAGGTGACCCCATCATCCAGGTCAGGACCAGGACCCCCTTCACCAATAGGGTCCTCTCGGCCCTCATCCCGGAGAAGTACAGGGGAAACGCTATCAAGTCCTACGATGGCCGATCAGACCCCCAGGAACACTTCAGCCGTTACCAGAACAACATGTTGATGGTGAACGCGTCCGATGAATACCTCTGCCGTTGGTTCCTCTCTACTCTCGAGGGGCCGGCGTACGAGTGGTTCAACGCCCTCCCCGAAGGGAGCATCGACTCATGGCAGGATCTCGCCCAGCGCTTCCTCACTCACTTTGCCGGGAGGAAGCGCGCGAAGAAGTATTTCACCCACCTCCTCTCCGTCAAGCAGCAGCATGAGGAGTCCCTCCGGTCATTCATCGATCGGTGGACGAGGGAGACCGAGGAGGTCGAGGGGGCCGATGAGCGCACCCTCCTCGCCTTGTACCAGGGAGCCCTCCGCAGCTCCCCGTACGCTAGAAGCCTGATCACCGACCCTCCGAGGTCGTACGCCAAGGCGCTCCAACGCGGAGGTTTGTATGCCGACGCCGACGAGCTCCACAACCACAAGAGAGAGGGGGCCATCCCCCCAAGAAGACAAATCCTTCGCCGGCCCTGGGTCCGTCCCCGGCCGGCCAGGGTGCCCAAGGCCGTCACGGCTCTGGTGGACAAAGTAAGAAAGACCGCCACTGGCGGCCGAGGTTGGAACGGCCGGGGGTCTCCCTCACTCACCCGGTCGGCACCATCCTCGATTATGCCGAGAAGCACGGCCTCATCGAGCAGGCTCCTCGGCCGGCCGAGGAGATCCTTGCCATCCAGCAGGGCGGCACATACTGCCGGTTCCACAAGAAATCGTCGCACAACACCGACGATTGCATCACACTGAAGAAGGCCATCGAGCGCCTTATTCGCCAGGGGGAACTCTCCCAGTTTGTCAAAGGTGGCCCACGCAAGAACACTTGGGTAAACACCGGCAAACATGGGGGCGAACCCTCTGCGAAGAAGCGGGAGATTGGTAGGCTCAGCGACGACGAGGACTTCGAAGAGCCCCCGCCGAAGAAGAATCACATCCACCTCATCGTAGGTGGGAACACAGGGGGGGACTCCGCCACTCAGAGAAAGAAATGGGCCCAATCCCTTTACATTGGGGAGGTGTCCCACGTCCCCCCCCCAGTCGAAGAGGCAGCGAACGGAGGCGATCACCTTCACCGACAAGGATCTGCCTCCGGGTACGGAATCACACAGGGACGCCCTCGTCATCCGATGTGAGATCGGTGACTCCATCATCCACCGTACTTACATCGATACGGGGAGCTCCGTCAACGTGATGTACCTGGACACCTTCAAGCAGCTGAAGCTGGACAGAGCTCTGCTGAAGCCGATCAAGACCCCGTTATCCGGCTTCACCGGGGACTCTATCGACGCCGAGGGCACGATAGTCCTCCCCGTGGAGGTCGGTGACGGCCCCCACCACGCCAAAATTAACATGGAGTTCATGGTGGTCAACCTCCATTGCGCCCACAACCTGATCTTGGGCCGGCCAGCGCTGGAGGACTTGGAGGCCATCATCTCCATGAAGCACTTGTGCCTGAAGTTCCCCACCAACGATGGCATCGGCTACGCCAGAGGAAACCAGAGGATAGCCAGGGCATGCTACCTCAAACTGACGAGGCCGGCCGAGAGGGAAGGCTAGAGGATAGACACCATCACGGCCGCCGTCGCCATGGACGAGGAGAGACCACATGCGGAGCCGGCCGAGGAGGTCGAGGAAATTCCTCTGGATACCTCCCGGCCAGAGCGGGTTCTCAGAGTCGGAAAGCAACTCCCCCAGGACCAACGAGACGCCATCCTCCTCGTCCTACGGTCATACGCCGCTGTCTTCGCATGGGGCCCGGACGATATGCCAGGCATCAGCCGCCAGGTGATCACTCACCGGCTGACCGTCGATCCGGCCTCCGCGCCTGTCAAGCAGAAGCGGCGCTACTTATCCGCCGACAGGAGGGACTTCGTCAAAGGGGAGGTCGCCATTCTCCTATCAATCAAACACATTAAAGAGGTGAAGTACCCGACATGGTTGGCCAACGTCGTCCTCGCCCAGAAACCGCCGACGTTCAGAATGTGTGTTGACTACACTGACCTGAACAAGGCGTGCCCCATGGACCCGTTCCCTCTCCCCAACATTGATCAGCTGGTGGACGAGACGGCGGGGTGCGAGTTGATGTCGTTCCTCGATGCTTTCAGAGGGTACCACCAAATCTCCATGCATGAAGATGACACTGAGAAGACGGCATTCATGACCCCAGAGGGAATCTTTTGCTACCTCGTCATGGCCTTCGGACTCAAAAACTCCGGCGCCACCTACACTAGGATGGTGGCCAAGATCTTCAGAGCGGTCCTTGGCCGGACGATGGAGGCGTACGTCGACGGCATGATCGTCAAGAGCAGGCAGGCCACCTCCCACGCCGACGACCTCCGGGAAATCTTTGAAATAATGAAGGAGTTCAGGCTCCGCCTTAACCCCAAGAAGTGCGCCTTCGGCGTCCAGGGCGGCAAGTTCCTTGGCTACATGGTCAGCCGGAGAGGCATCGAGATAAACCCAGAGAAGACGCAGGCTATCATCAACATGGAGCCGCCCCGCAACGTCAAGGAGGTACAGCGACTGACGGGGCGCCTGGCGGCCTTAAACCGGTTCCTCTCCAGGTCAGCCGAGAGGGCATTCCCCTTCTTCCAGATCATGCGTAAAGCCAACAGCTTCAAGTGGACGACGGAGTGC